CAGACTCCAAGAAATATTTTTGGGTAATTAAAAACACAAAGGGTTTCTCCTAAAACATTTTGTAGCATGTGTCCACATGTTAAAAGGAACTTTAGATGTCGTGAACTAGATCTGACATTTTTTAAAGGGTTGTGTACTTTAATAAGGCTGAGAAACACTGATCTAAGAAAACCTCTTGATAATAAAATTGTCTCACTTGTTTGTTTAGTCAACTCATTCCCCATATGGACAGTATAAGAACAACTGCTCAGATATGATTAAAAAATATGATGTTAGAACTTCAGGCACACACAGACATTGCAAATGTTCTGTTATTAAACTAGATCATTTCCCAGTCAGTGCCTGGTAAAAAGCAAAAACACAATACCTGTTAAAGTCATAATCATCTTTCGCAGTGAATATGACACAATTGAAATATTGCATTAACTTCAGCATTCATATATTTCCTTTGTTCAGAAACAATATTTAATTATTTCCTTTTATCTGGCATAATAAAAGAAGTGTGTATTTTGGTTGCACTGACAGTGATAAATGATTGGGAGAAGATTTCAACAAAATCCTACTTCTGAAATAAATCTACAAGAATAATACACGGCTTCATCTCAAATGATAGTGTTACTTACACTCTATTTTCAAGTGTACCTGTTCCACTCATTTTACAGATTGTAACACTATTCAGTTGGCACTAGAGAAATCAGGGCTGCATGGGGTAGTTTGTATTGCAGATATTTACTGCATATGTGTGGTTTTTTTAAATATTGACTTATCACTTGCTTTAAGAGATAGGGCTGCTATCTTATACTTTTCATCATCGCACAAAAGCAGTAGCAATTTTGAGGGCAAGACTATGCTTTAGTAAATGTAATTTATCAGTTTCATAGATACTAGCTTTGTTGCTAGGTCATAGGGTACAAAGACCCTGAAAAGACCTTTAACCATCCTGCAAGTATAGAAAAATGACTGATGTTCTGCCACAAATGCAAGCCGTTCCTAATTTCCTGTTATGGACTGGAAACACAAACCTTTTCTAGACTGAAATCACAAGAAATGGTGTCAGCCCTGCCCAACTGTCCTTTGCTAAATTACCTAACCCCTCCCCTTTTTCTCATCTCCACAACACAGAGACTAATTGTGTCATAGTCCAAGATAAGAACTGTGAAAGAGGAAAATGCAGCTTATGATAAGGGAGAAGAAGGGAGCAATTAAGAAAAGGTAAATAGGAGTAAAAACTAGGTATAACTATTCTTAAAATTGTCTCTTTCCCCTTCTCCTATCTATCCTGCATGCCCTGGATAAAAAAAATCTGTATACTTTTTTAATTAAGTTTTGGTATGTCATGTGTTTCAACAGCTCTAGCTTCCCTGTGTACGGGAGCACTTTACAACAGCTGTGAATTACAGTGACCCATAGCCCACTACCCATAGGCTCCCATGGCTCAGCCATTGTCGGTGCTCCCTCCTCTCCCTTGCAGCATCCTGTCTCTGACACAGGGAAGCCTGAGCTGCAGGATCACACGACGAGATTGGCTTAATAATAAGTAAGGATATCCAGAATAGGTAGAAAGATGAGGGAGGGAATATTTTATATATACTTGGCAATAAACTGGCCGAACATGGTTGGCTATATGCAGCAGGGCTGATCTCTGTATTCTGACAGCAAGGAAGTCTCCCCACTATCAAAATACAAAGGCACAGCAGGAGGATTCCCTATTCCACCTCAAATATGTAGATGGGTAAATTAAGTATTTTTTTTCTGTTCAACCCACCGAATGAATCATCTATGGGCTACCGTAGATTTTTCTTCCTCTTTTAATTGTTAGGGTTTAATTACACTTTTATTGCCTCTGTTTTGGTGGGTCAGCCCTACCTTCGTAGGAATAGATACATATGTGTAAGTGGGTTATGGTTGTATCTGGTAGGAAAATAATAAAAGTATTTTTAGTTGAATTACTGTTTTTAACCATGGCTTGATAAAGGAATAAAAGGATATGTGGATGTTCATAATAATGACTCAAGGTTTATTTAATAATGCAGTTTAATGATGTGGTGTGTTAATTACAGTAACACGTTGTACCGGATTCTGATTTAGTGGGATTTCACCCTTTGAAAGTATCCTAAAGTCACAGCAGTAGAAGATGTTTGCTGATTGGTTGCTTTGGATTATTGCTTTTGCACATTATTTTTATAAAAACACTTGAAAGTCACCAACAGTGGCTTATTACTGGAGTCAGAAGTTGCTTTTCACTTTTAAAAATCTCTCTGAATAGAGTGAGAGCCTTGATAGAGGTGACAATAAGTGACACCATTTCTTATCATTTACAGCTAGTTAAACCATTTGAGAGAGTGCATTGGTTGAATTATCAGCTGTGTTATCTATTGCTATTTAATTGTTATATGACACTGACAAGCTATGCAAGAGTTCACAATAAAATTTACTCACAAAATCAATAAAGGAATACAAAGTTGTTACAGATACTGCAATTTAAAGGCTGGAATGAGATGTTAAAAAAGAGCTTGATGTCTGGATGGCAAAGGAATATTTGGCTATATAAATTAAACATACAAGGGAGTACAATAAACTTCAATGCCTGCTTGCTATTTCTTATGGCTCACATGATATGTTTATTAAGGGTGCCCCAGAGGAGAGGATGCTGAATTCTAAATGTATTCCTTTACAGTAGAATGTTATAATGCTGCTTTCTTTTATGCTGTTACCTGTATGTTCTAGAATTTTGAAAATCATTCTTTTAGATTATAGAGCTTATTTATTTTTAATATTTTTATGATTCCCTATTGTTGTAAATCTTGTTCTGATGTTTGCTTTTGCGCTACTTTTGGGGCTGTGAAATCTTAAAGTGGAACCCCAGACAAAGCATTTTTTAAAATTTGGTCTTCATTAGAAGGAAACATTAGAGCCCCTGTCAAGTTTCTTTTACTCCTGTTCTTCATAAGGAATGTTTCCATTATCACTGCCGACAGGATGTGAAATGGGAGAAAAACACAGCATAAAGAATCAGAAAAAAGTCCTAACAAATTCCCACACTCTTTTTTTCGTCTGTATTGGAGGCATAGCTCCTTGCTTTGTATTTAATTAACCATGTTAGCCTAACAAGGAAGAAAGGAGGAAGATTAAAGTATTTACTGCTATTATGCAGTACACTGGATACAAGGAAAAGCTTTGCCCATAAAGGCTTTGACGATGGACTGCTAGTGCCTGCATCCTTATTGTAAAGGAAGTCATGGAGCAATGCCTACAGCACCAAAACCTTAAAATGTACAAACTGGTTATTTTGTTTTCCTCTTCTAAACATGTATGGCAATCTTCATGAAACCATTTTCGCTTTTTCAGGTTTGTTGATCTGCAGACAGCAATGCCCCCAGTGTCGCATTTTAAGTTTTTACTATAATATACATGCATATTATGAGGGGCAGAGTAGCACAAAAGTGCATCATCCCATGCCAGGGCCACCAACTGCCCAACTCCAGTAGAATCAATCAGTGGTGAAACTACTGATATCTGCACATAAAACAAATAGGCCCACGAGTGAAGGAAAATTCCACCAACTCCATTTATGTTGGTATGGTTTTGGAAATATGGAAGCATCCTGTTTTAATTGTTTATAAAATAAGGATTATAGAGAAGTACATACAATGTTTACATATAAAGTTTACAGAAAATAATCTATAAAAAATATTTTAAAAATTTGAGTTGCCACAACCCTCTAGTTTTCCTTTTTGCAATAATTTTGAAAATGAAACCCACATGTCCATTAAGTTCACATAAATAAATGAATAAAATAAATGTAAAACTTGCACTCTCTAGTTATTCTAAACCCACAGTTGATACCTTTTAACATTTTTGGGTTATGGCAAAAAGACCATTGATAAGCTCTAAAGAATGAAAAACAAAAAAATATTACTGGATAAAAAAATTCCTCTGTCTGTATGGGTTCGTTTGGTATGGTTGGTCATTTTGAAAGTTCCTCAAAACCAGCCAAGGTCTTTGAAAATTGAAAGCCACTGACTGTTATGTAGTTTTATAATATTAAGTAAGTTTTCCTTTTAAGAAGATGTTCTTATAAGATGTTCTTTCCTATGAGCTGGAACTGCAAGCTATGCACAGGATTTAATTATTTGAGTTTTGTAATTTTTGTCTTTGAAAAACAGGACAAAGCATCTTGAGTTAGACTAATAATAATAGATGGACTTCCACTTTCTAATGATTATTCTCGTATTAATTTAATGCTAAAAAATGTGCTTGTTTTGCTAATTGTTTTAAATAAAGCCCCATGTTGTTTTTGCCTATTAATGAACAATTTTAATAAGCATTTGCGGCATGCAGGCTCCTGGCGGGGAACTGAGTGCCTGTGTAAAAGATTTTTTAATAATAATGTTGCACTTAAGTATCCCCGTAAACGAGGGAATATCAAAGCACTTTGCATCTTTATGCAGTTTCATATAGCATGATTAGTAACCAGATATAATTGGTAATTTTTATGTCCATTAGAGGCACACAACTTTAAACCTGCTGCGCCAGGTTTTGAACCTTTGACCTTTTTTGTTTTGCTGAGGTTTTAAGGGCAGCCATTTTTAAGCTGTTAAACTCATGTTGCTTAGTTAACAAAGTAAAAACTGTTTTTTTTTTCTTTCTTGTAACATTTTATCTGTTATGAGTGGCTTTTAAGGTACATATGTATCTATCATAAAATATTGTTAATAGGAATCCCAAAATACAACATTAAATTGACAACAATGCTTTTAGACTCTATGGTATATTCCCAACACTAAATAATGACTTATACCTGCAAAAAATTGTGGTCTGACAGCTGGATGCACATTATTTAAAGCAGTTGTACTAAGCCATGGACTTGTGTTTTACACTTTTTTTTGTATGACCCTTGCAGAAGCCTCTAGGCACATTCTTAGATGTGAAGGAAAAGGCTGTACATCTACTACATTATGCATTTAACTTAGAAGGAGTCCATATTATTTATGCCATGAATGTTATTATGTTTTTTTCTTGGAGCACAACTTACATTCTTTATTGTAAAAAAATGTCAATGTTGAGGATCTCAGGGAAAGATAAACCACCTAAATGTTTGTGTGCTGTGGTATATAGCACAGCATAGGGCAGTGTTTCTCAACTCCAGTCCTCATGGACCCCCAACAGGTCATGTTTTCAGGATTTCCCTCAGATGAAACAGCTGTGGTAATTACTAAGGGAGTGAAACTGATCAAATCACCTGTGCAAAATAATGGAAATCCTGAAAACATGACCTGTTGGGGGTCCATGAGGACTGGAATTGAGAAACACTGGCATAGGGGAAGTTGCTTAATAAATTGTAGCCTTTTGTTCAATGCTTTAAATACTTGTAAACCAATCACAATGACCCCAGCACAGTGGCTAAATGGTTAGCACTTCCCCCTGGCAGTACTAGGGCCGTTGGTTTGAATCCCAGCCACGACACCACCTGCCTGGAGTTTGCATGTTCTCTCTGTGCCTGCGTAGGTTTCCTCCGGGTACTCCAGTTTCCTCCTCTCCACTCCAAAGACATGCTTGTAGGTTAATTGGCTCCTGTCTAAATTGTCCATAGTATATGTATGTATGAATGTGAGTTAGGGACCTTAGATTGTACACCCCTTGAGGGTTAGGGACTGATGTGAATGTACAATATATATATATGTGTAAAGCGCTGTGTAAATGGACGGCGCTATATAAGTGCCTGAAATAAATAAAATATCTCATATAAGCTTTAACATGTCAATGTAATTTCAGAAGTAATTTTTATTACTATAAAATCTGCAGCTTTATTAAAACAGTATCTTGATGATCCTGCCATGAAGGACCTTATTCAGGTAACTACAGGTTCACAACATTCTGTCCCTGCCGTCCAACTAAGCTCCTGAATTGTCACGCTGTCACACAGCCTTCAGATGGAGAGTACAACAGACCATTTCAACACATTAGAAGCTGGCATGGTCAGTTGTGGTCACCCTGAAGAAACTTGCCCTGAGAAATGCCATAAAGTCACTGAGGGATCACGTGTAGACAAGAAATTGCTAAAAGGAGGCTTTAGGAGATCAGCAGCACTGAGATGCAACAGGGATAATAAAAAGCATTTGTATTTTTTTTTAAAGTGTGTTTTTTATGTACCCATTGCTTTAGCAAACAATATGTTATTAATTTAGAGTTCACACATGCTTAACTATGAAAAGAGCTATTGCACACTAGTACAGAATCAACCCTTTTTGCCATCTACATGCAGTAAAGTGTCCAGTTCCACTACAGACATCAACTCCTTCATTCCTCCATCAATGGCAGCAGGATTTCATTGGTCACCTGCCATGCCATGAAGTCCACTTCCAGGCAAGAAAAAGGGAAGCTGCTCTCCATTTAAAAAAACTTGCATTTGTTTATTAAAGTACTGTAAGTACAAAGCAATCCACCTGTCCTACAGTCCTTAAGCATTTCACTCCATCCGGAGCTTTTTTAAAGTGACTCTGAAAAAGCCCCGTATTGAGTGAAACACATTAACCTATAGGACAAATGGATGAGCTAGTGCATAGAGTACTTTAATAAGCATGTGCAAGATTTTTGAAGGAGAATAGCTTCTTTTTTTTTCCCCTGCTTAGAAGTGGCCTTTGCCAACCCCCTTGTAAAGAAGATTAAGGCTTTTACATACATAATATGTTTGACTCAGTGATGTCAACCTGTGGGGCTACAATAAGGGAAAGTGATACCTTCATTGCTCTTAAACTCTACATGGAGACTGTGACGGTCGCGGCGTCAGACCCCTGACCTTCTCACCAAACACGTGACCGAAGGACTAGCCAATCCGAAACCGCGATGCCACGTGTGTAACAATGCCACGCCTAGCTGCACCCTGCACAACGATTTTCCAGCTCACTGGACCTCCAATCCATGTACCGGCAGCCTGAATGCGATTGTTACTGGGTCATGTTAATTACGCAATTAACCCTTCACTGCCACCACTTCCTTTTTGTACAGAGAAAGAGGAAACTCAGCTATAACACTTTAATGGTTGAGATAATCATCTGTATAACACGGTCACCGCAGATCAGTTATACAATTGGTTAAACAAACACAGTAGCGCTCTTTTAGAGGCAGGAATTCATAAGTTGCAATAAAGAGCTATAGAAACAGTTCAACACTTTCAGAAAGAAGGATTTATTACTAAAGGTCAAAAGGGTGCAATAAAAATATTTACAGAAAAAAAGATGTAACATATATATATATATATATATATATATATAGATATATAAGTAAACAGGGAACAACAGCACAGCAAAGAGGTAACAGAAAGGAGGTTAAAGGGTTAAAGTACTTGCCAATCAGCCTTGGGTTTGCAGATCAAGTTTCAAAGAAAAAGGGCATGTCTCCCAGGTTGGTTCTGATGTTAAAAGGGAGAATTCTTCAGCTAGCTCTCTTAGGCCTGACAGCCCATTTTGTAGTTCCCCAGCAGGGGGTGGCTCTGAAGTCAAGGACCAATGCCCGGTTTAGGGAGGGATCTTCTGGGCGGATACCTAAACTAGAGCCAAAATCTCTCCATATTTTGCTCATAACTTTCCCTATGCACAAGTGACATTCCACCCATGGGTAGATTACTATGCAGAGGCATCTGAGGAACAGGTAGATATGAAATATGAAATACATATTTGAAGGGTTCCAGAGATGTAATTTTCTGCTTTCCTAGGTATTCCAGTCAGGTAATGTGACCTATCAAACTGTTTGTCTTCTCATGGCCAATCTGAAGATATACCTGGTTTTTATGTAAGTCTCTCATATTCCAAGATATGAGACATAGGGGAAAAATGGATTTTAAAAGTGTTATCTAGTCTCTACTCCTCTGGAATGTGTTTGAGCTAAGGGGGAGGCTTGGGTTATCTTTTTACGAAGTGCCAGATTACTCAGCTTCCCAGCCCGCCTGGCACCCAGCTCAAAAATTGTTTATAGCTGGGCGCTCTGCTGTGCCCTGGCTGGCCTGTGACACTTCTAACACACAGGCCATATGTCACTGTGTATGAACAGAAAGGAAGGGGGAGAATGAAGGGAACATTTTGTAAAAGATGGAGGATTCTTTGCCAAGATGGAGATTGGATACAAAATGGTTGAACCGCGTCCATCTCTGTGGGCATGATTGCTACAGAGACTACTACACATACACCTCTGAGTCAGAAAATATATTTAAAAAAAGTAGGGATTCTCTTTAAATTTTGAAAAATAACTGCATGCCATGTTTGGAACTGCCTGTGATTTTAGATTTTTTCATCCAGATGGATACTGTAAATATCCTTAGCATTCACACCAACGTTAAAGCGTGCTGTTTTTACTGTGCTCACCAAGCATCCTCAATGTAAACCACACACCCTTGATTGATTTTGATTGGTCAAGTGCATTTCAGTGTCACGGTTCATGTCATTCTGCTTGATATACAGTGGAATAGACAGAGAATTTTCCTGCAGACACTTTTCATAAGTGGTTTGTGTGACAGTCTCTATACACTGCATTTCAGATTTTAGGTAGGCTGTGAAACGCTGTAGCAGTAATGGTAGATATTTTATTTAAATGAAAAGGTTACTTTAATGGAACCTTGACAGATAAACATGGAACAGAATGTAACTGCTTTCCTGATTTAGATGCAACTTTTACAGTATGCAACAGCAAGCCTCTATCCATACCAATTACTTTTTCAATGCATTTCTTGCCTAAGGCTTGCAGTGCATTATGGGACTGGCAAGAAGGACATCTGTATTTATCAACAAGAACATTTAGCTGAGCTGAGCTGTATACATTTTAATTATTTGAAAGTATGATTAATTATAGCCACTGATGTACTACAATAGAAATCCTTGCTAATTTGTCAGGCGATCAGATATTTGAATAAATGTTTCACTGTGTTTTAAAATCAAATTACAGCATACCAGCCAAATCCCAAGTTAATTGAATTTGAGTGTTATAGACATATGCCCACTCAGATTAAGAAAACTACATTGGTGAAGTTGAACCACTAATAGGACAATTAAACCACTTTGAGCAAAGTTCTTAAAAATAGTAACAATAAAAAACAACTGCACTTTTTCTTCCCCTTGTCAATTTAAAGGGTAATGGTAGTGTTATTTATAGTATATAAGGATAGTCAGCGTTTGAGGTTAAAATGCAAGAGGTGGCTGGCAAACATAAAGGTTTGAACACAAACCGTAACAGAAATGTAAAAAAGAAATTTTCTGTATCAAAAACAAATACTATAAACAATATTAGCTTAAATGTGTAAAATATGTGACATAATATCCATCCACATAAGTAAAATATAAGAACAGTGATCAGTAATTACCAGATATCGAGTTAGTGAAATAATTTATTTATCACAGGTACTTATATAGTGCTACCAATTTACGCAGCTCTTTACATACAGTAGGGCAAAAAAGTATTTAGTCAGCCACCAATTGTGCAAGTTCTCCCACTTAAACAGATGAGAGAGGCCTGTAATTGGCATCATAGGTGGACCTCAACTATGAGAGACAAAATGAGAAAAAGAAATCCAGACAATCACATTGGCTGATTTGGAAAGAATTTATTTGCAAATTATGGTGGAAAATAAGTATTTGGTCAATATGAAAAGTTCATCTCAGTACTTTGTTATATATCCTTTGTTGGCAATGACAGAGGTCAAACGTTTCCTGTAAGTCTTCACAAGGTTGGCACACACTGTTGCTGGTATGTTGGCCCATTCCTCCATGCAGATCTCCTCTAGAGCAGTGATGTTTTGGGGCTGTCGCTGGGCAACACGGACTTTCAACTCTCTCCAAAGGTTTTCTATGGGGTTGAGATCTGGAGACTGGCTAGGCCACTCCAGGACCTTGAAATGCTTCTTACGAAGCCACTCCTTTGTTGCCCGGGCGGTATGTTTGGGATCATTGTCATGTTGGAAGACCCAGCCACGTTTCATCTTCAATGCCCTTGCTGATGGAAGGAGGTTTGCACTCAATCTCAGGATACATGGCCCCATTCATTCTGTCCTGTACATGGATCAGTCATCTTGGTCCCTTTGCGGGAGAAACAGCCCCAAAGCATGATGTTGCCACCCCCATGCTTCACAGTAGGTATGGTGTTCTTTGGATGCAACTCAGCATTCTCTCTCCTCCAAACACGATGAGTTGTGTTTCTACCAAACAGTTCTATTTTGGTTTCATCTGACCATATGACATTCTCCCAATCCTCTTCTGGATCATCCAAATGCTCTCTAGCAAACTTCAGACGGGCCGGACATGTACTGGCTTAAGCAGGGGGACACGTCTGGCACT